TTGGATAGTTGAAGTCAGGATGTTGCAATTACAAAATGGATCTAAAGAAATTATTTTTTTCTTCTTTTTTAACAAACAGATGCTAAATATTATGCGGTGAAAAAGCAAAGTGTTCATCACCTGGACGATGTCTCTCTCTGCGAATCGTCCCCTGGAGGACACTCTGACTTCGTCCCCGTCCAGCTCCTCCATCGCTGCAAACAACAAACACGGCATAATACAGGAAGCTGCCCTGGAACTTTGTTACAGATAAATGAAGATACTGCAGTATTAAAATGACTGTCCTTTAATGAGGACAAAAACAATATTAAAAAAAAAAATCATCAAAAAAGTCCAAGTCGGCCAGTGAAGACAAAAAATAGATATTTCTGTTCCTTATTATAAACCTTTTAACAATATGAGTTAAAAGGTTTATAATGACATGGTTGCAAATTAGTCTTTGAATAGTTTTTCTACAAATAACTATTAAAAAAAATGATTAGTGCAATTATTAGTCCAGTTACTGTTTATGAACACACGGGGGCGCCGCCAGGAATTTTGGAGCCCATGACAAAAAATGAAATTGGGCCCCCAGTGTGGAGCTGCTGTCACTATGTCTTGAGTGTGTCTGACCCATCAAACAGTAAAAGCGAGTTATACAACCTCTTTAAATACAGAGCTATAATTATTCTGATACTATTGTCGTCTTCAAGCAAATTCGTGAATTTCCCTGTTGTAGTTAAGCCGTAACAAAACGTCCGGAATGAAACCAGGCTGCTAATCATCCATGAACACAGCCCCAGGGATCAATAAGGACTCCATATCAACGACAAGTCGGCCATTCCGCACGCAGGAGAATATCCTGCAAAACAACTTTATTAGAGCTAATATGGGTCACAGGAAGGGAAGATCTCATAAGATTGGAGGAGGATTAGCATAATCAGGTTGTGTAGAATTGCTCGTCCACACAGAAACAGGAAGGTAAGGATGGAGAAAAAAGGGATGTGATCGGAGGACGGAGAGGCTCAGGACTCAGTCAGGACAGAGAGAAAGAAGAGGAATCCAACAGGATCTGAGCCAAGAGGTTTGAAGGGTTCAGGCGTGCGGCTCGAGCCACGCCCACCGAGACGAGGCACGAAACCTCCTGTTGCCGTGACGAATCGAACGGCAGTGTGTACGCCAGCTGAATCTTTTTATTCCACTCAGTGAAGCGTCCAGCACTAACATTCACTGGAAATACATTTTAAATGAAGCTTAATGGAGTCATGAGCTCCTTAGTGCGACGCTCCTGAGAACGTTAAGGCTTAACAGACTGACATTGTCAGAAAGAGCAGGAGCTTCTTAAAGAGACAGAGGCCCCAAATGCGAAATTAAATTTCTTTTAAGCTTTATTTGATATGTACTGCATTTTTAAAACAACTGAATGTAACATAGTTACTTGATTGTGCTATAAAAATGGCACAATGTGCCTGGAAAAGCCATAATGCTGCCCCTTCAAACCCTGCAAGCCTCACCTCCCCTCCCCTTGCTCTCTCAATAACTGTAAAGCCAGCTCTCCATCGGAGCATATCATTGTGCCAACATTTAGACTTACTAACCTCAGTCCTACACTCTGGACCGGACTATTAGTCATATATATTTCCAAGCTCTCTGTGACCGATGTTGTCCTTTCTGATCGTTTTCCTTGTATCTTTAAAAGCGTAATTTTCTCTGACGAACTTTGCCAAAGAGATATAATGACAAAGCGGGGTGTTTGTTTTTTTTTTTGGGGGGGGGGGTTTAAGGACAGTGCAGACTGTTCATTATTACTCCTTTTTGCCACTGTAATGTTCTTTTTTGTTGTTGTTTATTTGTTCATTGTGTCGATTTTATCACGTAAAGCACTTCGAAGTGCTTGTTGCTGACATCTGTGATACAAATAAACCTGACTTGACTTTCTCTCCCTTCTGTGAAACGTGACGATTATCTGCTCTCGGCAACTGAAACATTAAAGATTAGGACAATAAAAACCAGTTTTAACGTAGAAAGATATGTTTAATACCCGCTTCAAGGTTGTTGCTTTTAAATGGTAGATTTATTCAGACTCATTGGGACAGATTCTAATTCACTGAAATGTGCAGATGTTGTAACTTTGCAGGTGGGAAGACGAGTTCGAAGCAGCAGAGAGACGATCAGATGCAGGAAGAGGATGAAAAGGTTTAACTACTGTAGATTTTAAAGGCAGATTCCCACACGGTGCTCTCTGAAGGGCTTTGCTCCAACCTGAGCTGTTCAACCAGGTAGACGATTCAAACAGAACTACAGCTCAGAGCGTCTCCACTCACTAGAGGCTCGTGTGATTCATGTTCTTTTCCACGCCGCGCGTCGGCTTTTGAAGCTTTTCACGCGCCGACAGTCGCCAACTTAGACACACATGAGGCAGCGAAACAATCTGCAAAACCGTCAGGCCGAGCCAAATATAGCACTAAGGAATATATATAACAGCAACAACCGAATACAGCAGAGAGGGAGATTTATGCTTTTTTTTTTTTTTTTTCAGAAAGTGAGCAGTTTTCAGTTTTTAGAAAATAGCGAAACTGATGACTGAGACAAAGAACTGCACGAAAGTCTTAAGGCCTCCTTCATTTGCAATTTAAAACCTCTTTGGTAAATGGCAGACGAAGTGTGTTTGGAATAAGACACTGTACAAAATAAAGAAAAAACATCTAAAATATTGTGCTTGCCAGAATTTTACCATATAAATTTGGTAAAATCCATATTTATACGGCATTTTACCATAAATTAGAGACTTTTTTTTTTTTTTTAACAGCGTATGATTTCCACTACATGGTCAGCGTAGCTTTACCACGTTTCCTGGTGGCACATGATACTGGAAGGAAACTGGAGCACAAATCAATCTGTCAATAAATGCAGGTCAAATTGGACAGTTTTTGTTCTTCAGCGCTGCAAAACAGAAAACATCTCTTAATGTTCTGCAGTAATCCATGGAGATATGTTTGGTTTTTCTTTTACTCTCTACATAGCTGGTATTTTGTCTGCTCGTGTCTGAACCAGAGCCTCTGTAAAAACGGTCTGGATGACTGACAGCGGGAGCAATTTGAGACATGCTGGATGGAGGATTTACAGTAAAACGAAGACATATCTAATGATTCTGTCGGCTTTAAGCGGCTGAGGAAGCGCCGTTCGCACAGGCGTACGCATGCTTACCGTCGAACTCAGCAGGGCCCACTCCCACGATGATGAGAGACATGGGCAACGACGCTGCCTGTGGAAGGAGCAGAAGGAAGACAGTGATCATACCAAAGAAGAAGAAGTTTGCAAATATTTACCTCAAAAGTTAAATTTAGCTCAAAGTACGTGATTAATTCCAAAGGAAAAACTAATTTTGGTTGTGTGTATTAACATACTTTAATAAGTCATTAATCAGTTAATCGCATGATAAATTAAAATGAGCTCAATAATTTACATTCTAATGATTAAAGCTTTTTTGAGGCCAATTTGGTTTGCAGAGATTCATAATCCATTTTACTTTTTAATTTATTATCTTTGGTTGCTGTGTTTTATTTTCAATGTTTGCAATATTTTCCATTTCCAGTTCTTGTTTTCCTTTTTTCTTCTTAAATTAAACTTCATTGGTCTTTGAGAGGCTGAACTTACAATATTACTCCATAATCGTTATCTTGCTTGAAAATGGTCTCAAACAACAATATTATCGTTTATCACAATAATTCATGGTACAGTTTATCATCCAGCAAAATCTGTTATCATGACATGGTTATACACAAATTAAAATATGGTTATGTCATTTTAATATCAAACATTTTCCCACATATCTTTTTAACAGTCCTCCTGGACCTTTTCCCTGTTAAAACTAGTAAAATATAAACACAACGTTAATCCAGCAGAATCTCCTCACAGCTCAGGCTAAGAAAGGCTTAGTCAAAGTCCCTCCTACGGAGCTCTGTCACTTCCTTCATACGTAATGGAGTCAGACAGCCTTAATGATCCTGATCAAACTTCAATCAGAAGTCTTTGCTTCCCTTCAGGTCAGGTAGCCTATACACTTATGGGCATTAATGTTTTCTTTGCTTGGCTTTTTAAATTAATCGTTGACGATGTTCATTTTCCAAGCTGGAACGATGATGATACAACCCAGAAACTTTAGTCACTATTAAAACAAGATGTGAACATACAATCCGCACAGAGTCAGAGTTACGCCTCTAAACTCAAAGACATTAAATCAAACTCATATTTGGTTAATCTTGTTTGTCGTTCTTCTCGGTTCCAGTTTGACGTCCCGTTTCCCCTGCCACTGTTTTATAGGGGTTTTTTGTCCTTTTCAGTAAATCCTGTCATCATACTCACTCCAAGATCTCATCTGCATTTTGGTCCAGCTTTAAATTTACATGTTATGACAACTTTAAACAGAAGAAGGTAACACTTTATTTGAAGGGGGGTGAATAAGACTGTCATGACACTGTCATAAACATGACATAACATCAATAAGTCTTCATGAATATTTATGACTGTTGTCATAAAGTGTCATTCAGTAAATCATGACACTTTTAATACAAAGTTGACATTATTGAAAATGTCTTTGTTATGACAACTTGACATTAACCAAGACATCATGATCTGACATAAATTTGTTATAAAAATATTACCGATTAAACTTTAAAAATTAGCTTTATGCCCCATTTATTATGCTACTTGTATTAAGAAATAATTGTATTGCACTTTATGACCACCAGTCATGTTAACTAGGCATTTGTCTGCCAGTCTACCATTCTGACAGCAAGGGAATGGTATTTAAATAAATGGTATTTAAATAAATGACATCGTTTTTTGTTTTTGTTCTTTTTTTAAAGTGACCACAATGAATTGAGTCATCACCGACTATGAGAATGTCCAGAAGAGATTCACCAAGTTTGAATTCATGAAAAGGCTTTCGCCATGATTAACTATTGCAAGAACAGCTGTAATTTCTGAGCATTTCTGGACACCTTCAAAGAGCTGCTTCCAGGAAATGAAGACAAGAAGAAGATCTCCTGTTTTCAGAGCATTACAGGAAGACTATTACGAAGGAGATGGCTGACATAATCAAAGCAAAAAATGTTACTGTTGAAAGAACCTATTTTCTTAAGTTAAAGAATAAGTAATTCTGTTTTAGTTTTTCAATCAGCATTTCAGAGTAACAATATACTGACCAGACATTAAACCCTCTGTTATCTTAGAACAAGTTATATTTTGTTTTAATCCAATGTACAAAGGGTTTGTTCTACAGTTATGATGGTAGTTATAAGTAGTCCAATGTGTTTCACTTCATTTGAGGTAAGACTTGACATCAATAACTCTGTTAGCATTGCATTTGACACTGTTAACATTGCATTTGACACTAAATTACATCTTTATAATTGTTGCTACTAGTTTCAATTTACTTGAGGTAAAAGTTAATATTAATGACAGTGTAATAACACTTAATGACATTCATAACTGGTGCTACTTGTTCCACTTTAGTTGATGTAAAAGAAATTGTTAATGAGTGTTATTAAATAATTTGACCGTGTAATAAAGCTTAGTGAAATCTTTATTGCTTGTCCTACTTGTTTTGCTTTATTTCAGGGAGTGGAAATACTGATGATTGTTTTGTTAAATCTTTTGCTAGTGTAATAATTATGACTAGGATTCTGACAAATTTATGTCAGATCATGATGCCATAACAAAGACATTTTCAATGTCAGCTTTGTATTAAAAGTGTCATGATTTACCGAATGACACTTTATGACAACAGTCATAAATGTTCATGAAGACTTATTGATGTTCATGACAGGTGTTATGTCATGTTTATGAAAGTGTCATGACAGTCTTATTCACCCCCTTCAAATAAAGTGTTACCCAGAAGAAACATGGAAAGATGAACTGACACCCAGTGGCAGCTGGTGGGAAAAAAAAAAAAAAAAAAAAAAAAAAAC